GGCTGGGACTGAGGGCAGACAGTGAAAGCAAGGCCATTGCCCCTACTGGCACACCCGAGTTCCAGGGCTGGGAGAAAGCCTCATAGGGAAACCTGGGGAACTCCCAAAGCCACAGCTCTCCTTAGTTTAGGTGTAAGCAAGGCCAGGCAAATCTGCAGCACTCCCCAGCATTTGTCTGGGCTGGGTCTGGGAACAGGACAGGCTGGGCCAGGCCTCAGCACTCATGTACAAGAAGCCAGGACACAGTGTGGGCTGCACTAGTTGGTTCACATAAGATACAGGGCTCAAGAGGAACTGACTAGGCAGCTGCATCTACCAAAATACTAGTTGACTGGTGCTGGTGTCAGACCACACCTGACACTGCAGTGGCTGCACACACAAGTCAAGTATGAGGTCATTCCAGTTAGGTTTCTTGGAGATTCCCCAACTAGACCACTGCATTCAGATCTCAGCCATAGGAATAAAAAAAAATCATAGGATGTGTTGTCTGACCTTGGAGTGCATATATCAGGACTGGGTCTTCTCAGTTGCTGATGCCTCTGCAATGCCTGGCATGCCAGATGCACATGGGGAACATGACCAGCAGGGGACATCAACTGCCTCAGAGGATCAAAAGCAAAACAAGTTGGATAATTCTTTCCACCAAGCTAGCAGCATGTTCTTGGGTCTGTGGAACCACTAAGATGGCCTGTCAACCAACAGACTTTGGAAAGGTTTTCTCAACCCTGAAACAACAAAACCAACAACCTCTCAGAACTATCAAATCCACTCAAGTAACACCCTTGGAACACACTCCCTGACATCGGGGTCTCTAGGGCATCAAATGACCACCTGGATCCCAGATGCTGAAGCAATTGTCCTTCCCCTTCTCCCCTGCCAAGACAGGAGGGAAAAAACAAGGCTGAAACAATATTAAAAATAAACGATATTAAAAATAAAATTACCAGAAAGTCCTCAATTAAATGCCACAGCTGTGCCAATAACCATGTCAAGCTGGGAGAGAGCTTCAGGTCAGATGAGAGCAGGGTCTGAGCTGACAACTTTGTAAAATATTCTTCTAAGTCCCTGAGCAGAAGGCACAGTGAATCTGATGACTGGATGCCTACGCTACAAAAATGATGAGATAGTCAGCAACTGGGTTTGGCATTTATTATACAGAAATAGAAAATTAATACAGGAATTAAGTTCCTAAATATAAAGAACAAGAATAAAATGCACAATTAGCAGCATACAAAATAAAAAACGAAAGCAGTTTCAACAAACTTCTATTTGTGGGGAACTAGCTCTGAAGCGCTAGGTGTTTCCTTGAATGTATTCATAGAACAGCTTTCTCCAGGTCCATACATAAGTCATTTTTTATTGGCTAAATGCCTTGATGTTCTTGAAACTACAACTCAGCAAAGACTTAGAAAGGCCTCTAGTGTGCTATTCTGTGCTTCCTGCTTCCTCCAGCACTAGGTGCATTATCCTCCTTCAGTTCCTAACATTCAGAAATCCACGTGACTTGACAAAAGCATAAAGACGAAAAGGGAAAAAAAAACAATGAAAGTTCCATCTGTAAAGGAAGCCTATCAATTTTAACACGTTCCCTTAGATCACGTTGAGTAGTTTTACAGAATGCATAAGCTGCATGCAGATATTCTTCACATAAACCACACATTACTGTGTACTTTAAATAAAAGCCCATCAGTGACCACCACTGGACTAAAAACATCCTTTAACTCTTAAATCTTGTCTTACTGACAAAACTAAAACATGCATTCTGGTACTTTTGGATATGATAAAATTTAGGTGGATGCATTGTTCTGTTTGGAAATGGACACCTTCCTCTGAAAGTTTTAGGCCTTTTGAAAGCTCTGTTCTCAAATGGTAGTCTATAATAAGTCTTTTTACTGGCAGACTATTTTTTCAGCTATCTACTTTGCTGTTCTCTCACTATAGTTCTTCCAGGTCACTACTCATGTACTTAAAGCAGTGTTTCAAAAAAATTTTTTCCTAATGCGCTAAGCATGCATGCACACACGCTTACATACATCAAGCACACATATATACAAACAGATGAGCACACAGTGTGTAGAAGTTACATGTAGGTCATGACATTTCAATTAAATTTGAGCTAGAAAAACATGCTTTGAGAATGCATATATTTTAGTGATAATTTCATATAAAAAGACTATTTTCCTAACAATGCTTGCAAATTATATTATGTATTAGAAACAAAGAAGCTTCAATTAAGGGTCTATAATTGTCTTTCAATCCTGAAAAGGTTCTTACTTACTAAATATTAAAAGAAAAAATCATATTATGTAAAATAATAAAATACATGATGAACTTTACTTATGCTGCCCCTCATATACGTGCTGTGAAAGCTTCTGAATGACCATGTTTTGTATTTGGAGAATATTCAGATGACATCTTAAGTTCTTTACTATTTCCCACCATTATGAAAAATCAATAAGGCTAATAAAAATATTCACATTGATTTAGCTGAAAGTGGTAGTTTTCCATGGAAGCATGTGCCATCTTCTTTTCCATCATGGTTGTGCAAAATAAGAAACTATCATGACTGTAAAACATAAAATACATCAGCACATTACTTTCCGATTTTCCCCTTCCCAGGGGTGTTACTGAGTGACAATGTTGAGAATTTAAAACTTGTGAACAGTTTCATCCTTCAGCGGTAAATGAATGACAACCATGGAAGTACCATAGTAAGGGAGAGACCGTATGAGAAGAGTTTCATTCACAGCAATGACAGTGAATAGAACTGCATCAACAAAAAAAGACAACACAACATGAAAAAGTCAATGCTTAGTTGAGGATCTTGTCTATCCTTGATTCCAGACAGAAAATTTTGGTTAAATTGTATGGGACATTTCCCTATTCAAATCATTCTGAAATTCAGGCGCTTTTTTTTTTTTTTAATGAGATAGGGTAACATCATCCCATCATCGAATGGGATTTCCTGGAAAGAGTCCTGTCCAGGAGATGTAAACAAAATCTTGCCAAAGTCGATCTCAATGTTATCCTCATCCCTTCGAAATTTGCTTCACTGTCAGAACTAGCTCCCTTCAGTACTCTTCCAGATCCTGTGGAACACAGATGAAGCCTCATCTGTCTCTACCAGAAGTTTAGATTATTTTTTACTGTTCTGAATGTTAATATATGATGCTGATATTCTCAAACAAGGATTTAAAATGTCTGACCTATTTTATTAGCACGGCTGTGTAGCCAAAATAGGAGGGTGGTCATTCATGCATACATGCATCTTTCCCTACATGTCCTCCTGCTTATCATGGTGCAGTGAGAGCCAGGAAGAGGCAACACATGGTGTTCTAAAGCCTCTGCCATCAGACATCTGATATATCTGTGCAATAATTCCCCTGAGTCTCCCTGGGACTCCACAGTACCAAGCTGCACACTCCATTCAACTTTAAGTGACAATGACATAAGCAATAACTGTCCCCCTATTCCCTCATTGGCAGCAGATGCATTCAGGATTAATATTTAGATTCTCATAGTTTTAAATGTGCGACTGGAAGAACTACCTGAAGAAAATGATAGGAAATTGAGCTCAGGCAATACATAGCACCCACAAGACTGAAGACAGCTGTTGGGATTTCATGTGGCGCTTGGCAGGTGACCATCGAGGCAGGAGCCAGAATTTTCCCCATAGTATTTTTGCTTTTTATTTACCTATTTTATCTAATATGATGTGCCTAAAACCATTGCACTTTACCCATAGATACTGTCTGACATACCTAGAACAGGCAAAAAAAAAAATAGCTAAACCTAGACAGAATCAAAGGAAAACTAAATGAAAACATCCCATAGCAACTGTCAGGAAGGACTGGATATTGACAACGAAAACTAAACAAAATCAAAAGGCTTCATTTGCTTCTCACACAAACTTTTCCAACTCTTCCTGAAGCACAGAAACCCAACATTTGCTTCACAGCCCATGCACAGTAAGCAATCAGGCTATTGGAGGGGAAGTGGATCAGATATGCTCTCCCAATCTGCTCCAAGAAATAGTCACAATAAAAACAATGATATTCAAATCATTGATAAGGCTTTTGGCATAAATGAGCTTAAATGAACCTCGAATAAAAGAATGTTTTAAAGGAAGCTGGCATACAGAAGCGACATCAGCTGGGGGAAGTTGTGGATATTCAGTGAAACCAAAAGAGAGCTTTGGTTGTGTAGATTCACAGAGCTGGAACCTGGGAAGACTGGCAAGCTCAGAGCATGGGAAGGAGTGGGGACCTGACCGTGGTCCTGAAAGAACGACCTGACGCTGACTCCCAGCTCTCTCCAAGCAGCAGCAAAACCACCCTTCCAGAGTTTTCACTGTAGCTCAAACCAAATATCCAATAATATTTGTCCTCACGAAATAAAGAGCCAAACTTTCTCTTTTGACTACAGCCGTCTTTATAATATCCTGCTCTCCCTTCCCAAATAACGTTTTGGGGGTGATAAGCTAATTTTAAAATGAAGAGTTACACGTGAATCTACCTTAAAAAAAGCAGTTATCAAGAATCTAACACATTTAGAATTTAGCACTTAGAATTCTACGGAAAGCTTGTGCTCAGCAGACTGGCTCTGGTCTGCATTTCTTGAACTTAGATGGAAATTATGCTTGTTCAGAGGACCACCGGGAACGAGGCTCCAAACTGCAATCAAGGGTGCTTTGAAAACTCTAGAAAGACCAAGTGTACCAGTACCCATCCTTTAACTCAAATATCTGCAACCTATTCTCCAAATTACATGTTCCACTGTGGACCCAGGCAGTCTGCAACCCTGAGAACTACACGGGTCTAAAGTGTTCAGGCTAAGCCCAGTCTTACAAGGGAAGCGTTTTCTCCATACCAAAGAAACCATCAGAGGAGCAGGCAAATCCACACGACTAGGACAAAGGGGGTGAGAGGTAAAAGCAAAAAGTAATGAAGACGAAAAGCAATCTTCTCAGAAAAGACAACTTGTCCAAGTGTGAGACTTACGTGTTCCATCAAAACGGGTGGCAATGGTGTCCAAAAAGGTGTTCTGAGGCGCCAGTAATCCTTTCATGACCGGCATTTTTCCAGCTTGGTGTGAAATTCTCCATCAAAGTTTGTCCCGGAGGATGGTTGGAAAGGAAAGCGCTCAGAAGGGAGAGAGGAGAACCTGCTGACAGCCGTGGAAGGGGTCTGGCGCGGTGCCGGGGCCGGGAGGTACAAGGAAAGGAATGGCAGCAGAGGGGCGCGTGGCAGCCACCACGGTGGCGGGAGCAGCCCTGAGAGTGCGCTCCGAGCCCGCCCCGCACCTCCCCGCGCAGCCAGCACCGGTCTCGCTCGCTCCCGCCCCCTCCACCTCCGCCAGCTGCCGAACCCCTCCACTCCGGGCCTGCACCCCCACCTCGCCCGCCGCGGCCCGGGGCACCGCGCCCTGACCTGAGGTTCTGAGGTCGTGGAGTGCAACGCCTGGAGAAAGGGCGCGCCTCCGTGGCTCTCAGCCTTGGCGTCTCCAAGGGGCGCCGGGAAACGCGAGCGCCAACGCGACTCCCACCCCCTCGGAGGCAGTGAACAAAGACCCCTTTGTTCCCTCTCGGTCCCTCTCCCCGAGAGACTGGAGTCCCGTGGGTGTGGTACTGGGAAGGGGAGGAGACCGGTCGGGTCAGGTAGCTGGCCTCCGCCTAGAACCTGGGAGGGGGCAGCCCCCTCCGCACTCGTGTCCTAGGGAGCAGAGGCAGCCAGGAGTCCCGGGGGAGGCATCCCCGCTCCACCTCCCGTGCACCTGCCTCCTCCAGTTCCCCATGACAGAAGCAGAGCAGTCCCAACGAGTCCCCCTCGCCACTCACCAGGGTCTTAAAGACCCCGGGAACTGGCCCTAGGAGGTGCTTCAGTAACCCTTCCTAAATTGCCATGGAGCTCTCCAAGTCATCCCAAACTAGAAAAAAATAAGTAAGAGCCATTCAAGCGGATAGTGGATGGTTTCTCGCTCTCTGGCGAAACGTGAATAAAAAAGCATTTCTAGAAAAGTTTAGTATATTTTGTTGATTTGAAAAAAAAAGAAAAAACATAGTGCAAGTCAAAGTAGTGTTGCTTTGCAAAAATAGCTTCAATCTAAATTCCCTATCCAATATCTTGTTAAATGCTTCCTGCGTTCAGCGGAATCCCCCAGAAACGGACATCTCCAGGGGAATAAAAGAAAGCCTGGCCTGTCTGGAACCCGGCAGGTGTCTTTGAAAACGAAAGTGGTCTCTTCTTGCTTTCTTCCCTCGGGGCTCACTCCGGGACTCCCTCTGCACCAAGGTTGTGCCAAGGAAAGCCACCCATTCCCGTGGCTTAGCCTTGCTGGCCACGAAGGGGCTACCCAGCGCAGGGATGACTCCGTGGGACCCAGAAAGGTGGGAGGCGTGGAAGGAATCTCAAGAGCCCACGGTGAAAAAGAAACAAAAACAAAACCAAAACAAAACAAATGTCGGCCCCAGGTGCTGCGTGCCCGGAAGGAAAGGAGGGGGAAAAGCGAACAGGTGTCTGAGCTGCTGCGGGGGACAGGGTCTCAGACGCGGTGAGGGGTGGGTGGCCCCAGTCCCACTATGCTGTGGATTGGGGGACGGGGGATTCCTGCTAGAATGCTCCCAGCTCCTGGGGAGACAGAGGGACCCTGAGGGTTTCGTCACAGCTGCCCAGGGCTCCGGGAAGGGCGGGGTTGGAGAGAAAGAGGCAAGGCATCCCTCTCCCCGCCCCCGTCTCGTGATGCACTTCCTGCAGCCGAGGATTCCCTTTGTGTGGAGATTCAAGATCCGGCCTCTGCGTGCTGCTGGCGGGGAAGGCAGTGCGCCAGGGACCGGGAATTCCCTAGTGGGTGGGCCGGACTGCTGCTCTAGTCCTGGAGCTGGGCCCTGGACGCTCGCTGCTCCTGGCCCCAGATCCGCCTGTGTCCTCCCCAGAGTCCTAGGTGCGGAGCCCGCTGCTCTGGGTGGAACCTGGACTCTGAGTACAAGGCATCCCCGAGGCTGGAGCCTCGCACAACCGGTGTGGCTGTGTGGGTTCCCTCTTGGGCGGGGCCGGGGATGGAAAAATGAGGGCGCTCCCTATTTCTGCCTGAGTGCTGTCTGTGCCAGAGGAAACCCACTGCGGATGAAAAAGACATAATTCCAATTCAGCGCGCATGACATGCATATAAGCCAAGACTCAAATTCACAAAATGTGCACTGTAGGACCGTATTTGGCATGCGCGCGTATACACACACACCACACACACACCTGTCCGTCGACTTGATCTGTATTGGCTAATGCAGCAAAAACAAGCCCGGAACGCATCAGACAGGCCACCCTGAAGAGAGCCTTGGTTCCATAGCAACAGGGGTCTGGCCTTTATCATTCACTGTCTCAGTGAACAGCCCCGCAGTACTTACTGTATGTCAGGCATTGTGCAAGACCTCGTTCCTGCTCAAACCTAAATGCGGGCCGTGCATCCGAGGGACAGCCTCTGTCCGAGTGATGGAGGGCCCTTACTACACCTCAGTCTTTCCCCACCAAGAAGTCTTAGAGATGGCTGCCAGAACCAGTCCAGGGCAGTTCTGTGGCCCTGGGACCCTCTTCATTGTTGGTAACCTGGGTACAAACTACACTATGAGAACACCACCTGCCAGGAAGTCAAGCACAACCCGTTACACATATTTTGCCAACTTAAAATCAAAGGCCGAGAAAAAGGTACAGCGAGAGGAGTTATCACTCTTACTTCCCCAAAACTGATGGCAAATGATTTCAGCTCTTTGCATGGCAGCCTTTTTAGGCCCTACAAGACCTTTGCCTGTGGCTCAAATGACACTGCCTGGAACACACGATAACCAAATTATACAGTAGACCTAGTATCTACAGAAACAGGTTCATTTTTACAGAGGAGGAGGAGGTCATTGTTTTCCAACTAAAATGTAAGAATTCTTATTAAACCAGGCGGTCTATATTGTGTACTAAACAAGGCCTCTACAGGTAAAATTAGGTAACTCATTTCAAGTGCATCCACTCACACCATTTAAAAACAGCAACACTGCTTCACTTTGCTCAGAGATTTCCTATTTGTGCAGCAGTCAACGGGACAGCTTCAGTCAGCTTTACCTGGGACTAGAAGATTCTCTTCAAAGATGGCTCACTCAAGAGGATGGCGATTCCTTGCTGTTAGCGGAGACAACAGCCAGGGCTGGGGCCTTGGAACACCAGTTCTGGTTCTATAGGTGTCTTTCTCCATGAACTTCCTGAGTTTTCTAACAACATTGTTTTTAAGAGTGAACATCTAAAGAGACAGAAAATAGGAGCTGCCAGGTTGCTGAAATCATCTCTAGCTACTGCCATAACAGAAGCAAACAGAGAACCCGGATCAGCCAGGAAACAAAACTTAGCTCTCAGTAAGAAAAATTGCATGTGGTTTTGGGGGCCATCCTTCAAAATTGCCAAGTCAGCTTGTTAGTATTTTCAGCACTATAAAGGGGGTTGCTTTATAAGAATATTCCAGAATTCGATTTACAAACATATTCATATTTCTATACAATCACATGTTATTTGGGACTTATAGATACAAGAGTTTGGTTCAAGTCCACGTCCCTTAGAAACATAAAACGCAAGGAGGAAAATAGAAAGTCATTTTAAAGTGATTGTAAGGTTTATCATTATTTCCTTTAATCCCAGTTGCTTATCCAAATATTGGTGTTATTTTTTTAAGCTAGGTTGGGAATTAAAAGGGCTTAGGATTCCCTAAGTTGCACCATTGTTCCAGGCTTCCTCCGTGTGTGCAACTACAAATGACTACAAATGTCACTTCCCACAAGAGTTCCTTGGCCAAAATTACTCATATGTTCTTACTCATCGAGAACGAGGGAGAACACTCGGATAGTACCCTTCCAACTTTCAACTATAAAATAGAATTAATACCATCAATTCAATTTTCAGGGATTGAACTAGTCATAAAACGCACAAAGCAGCAGCTGAACTGTAACCGGAGCAAACAAAAGCAGGTTATTGGTTTAATCAGGTTGTCCTATACATACCACCAACTTTAGAATTCAGATCACTACGATGGCCCTTTAGCAACAGCTGAGTAATAATCATCAGTCCACATTATCTCTCATGACTCATTTCTTCCTGTGCTCAAATGTTATGTGGAAGGAAAAACAAAATTTCTAGAAGTTCCCAAAATATAGAGAGCTCTTGTAAAGAGTATGACTTTGATTATAGTAATGTCACTTCCTAGAAAGGTCTTCCGTCCGTTGATTCACTCCCCAAGCAGCTGCAACAGCAGGAAGGCGCTGAGCCGATCCAAAGCCAGGAGCCTCTTTTGTGTCTCCCATATTGGTGTAGGGTCCCAAGACTCTGGGCTGTCCTCCACTGCTTTCCCAGGCCACTAGGAGGGAGCTGTATGGGTAAGCAGGGCTATCGCAATTAGAGCTGGAGTCCATATGGGATCCCAGTGCATTCAAGGTGAGGCTTTTAGCCGTGAGGCTACCTCGCCGGGCCCAACTTTTTTGACTTTCATGAGAATTATAGTAGCAGAGATTTCTTCATTCTTATTTAAGATTTATTTTTATTGGAAACTCAGGTATACAGAGAGAAGAGACAGCAAGAATGATCTTCTGCCCATTGATTCACTCCAAGTGGCTGTATCAGTCACATTGGCTAGAGCTGCACTGATCTGAAGCTAAGAGCCAGGAGCCTCTTCTGGGTCTCCTATGCAGGTAACAGGGTCCCAAGACTTTGGGCTGTCCTTGACTGCTTTCCCTAACCGCAAGCAGGCAGCTAGATGGGAAGTAGGGCTGCCGGGACATGAACTGGAGCCCATATGGAATCCCACCGCATGCAAGGTGAGGACTTTAGTTGCTATGCTACTCTGCACAGGGCACAACAGCACACACTTCACAGGCCGCGAGGGATGAATAACATGGTATTTATTTTTTATTTCCAATGGCTAACATGCCCTGGCACATCGCAAGCACATAAATGCTTATGGGAACAAGAAGTGCTAGTTCTCCTAGTTACATTCTCTGTTCCTTTCACTAACGCAACGTTCTAGGTCTATTTAACTTTCTGTCCCTTGCACCTTGCACCGAGCTTCTCAGGGTTAATGGTCTTTTAATCCTATCTAACCTTTATGTAAGGTCACCTAGGAGATGGATGTATTAAACAATAGTTGATGAATCATAAATGAATAAATGAATGAATGAAATTAGTCCATACAAGGTCTTCCCGTGAAGCGAGTGTCAACAGCGACATCTTGGTTTTCCTTACACTTCTCCTGGCTATCTGATCTCCAGTTTCCAGAGCTGAAGGAC